GCCGTGCCGCCCGCGTCCCCGCGCTGCCCCTCCCCGCTGTCACCCCGCGGGCAGCGCCGCCCGGGCCTGTCACCCCGCGGGCCCGCGCCCCATCCCCGTCAGGCGGCCGGGGCTTCCCCGCGGGCCGGGCCCGGCACGGCGCTGCCGCAGGGCCCGGCCCGGCCCCGCCGCGCTCCTCGCCGCCCGCCTCGCTGCCCTCCGTGTCGCTGCTGCTGGGCTCCTGCGGGACACGCCGCCGTCAGCGCCGGGGCCGCACCCCCGCCCTCCCCCGCCTTGGAGAGGCGCAGCCCGGCGGCCCCTGAAGTACCTCCTCAGCGGGGCCCTCCGCCGAATCGTCCTCGTCCTCATCCGAGCCCCTCTCCTCTGAGGCCTGAGTCAAAATTTCTTCTCCCTAAGTTGAACACAAGATCTGTGCTGAGTGTGTGCGAAACGGCCAAAGTGTGCCAGGGTGGGATGGAAGAAATGGGCATTTTGTTGCCTTGTTAAATAAAAAGTTTTAGAGTTTAAAAAAATCAGATTTTGTTTAACTGTCCTGCTTCTACAGTGAAAGATTAAGAGCCAGAACTGGCTTCTTTTAAAACCACACATGAAATGTTTTTAGGTGTTCAAGTGACCTTTATCTCTTCCCTCTTGTGCAGGTAGTTCTTGCCACGGAACAGCCAAAAAATCCCCCTACCTGTTCATTATGATCAAATCTGACCCCTCAGTGCAAGAGCCTAGAGATGCAGACTCTTAATCTTGAAATAAAATGCTTCTTCCTCCTGCACTAGACATGACTGTACTATGGTCACACTGAATTTGACCTTTTAGCTATACCCACACTCAAGGAGAGAGTTAGTTGTCTGGACACGATGAGCAATCCTCTCCCAGATTTTAATTGCCCCAGGCAGGGCAGTGATTCTCACCTGAAGATCCCGATTTTTGAGGATGCCGACCCAGAAGGCCTCCTGGCAGTGGTTGAATGCCAGCATTGCCTTCACTCTGTACACAAATTGTTCCAGGGACTTCTTCAACAAAGGCACATGGTTGGTCAGTCCAATGTCTTGGTGAATCTATGCAACAGTAAAATGTGATGAGGATTGATTCTTCCCTAAGTGTTCTGGCTGTTTAAAAATCAGTGGTTATCAGGTGGGATGGACATGACCCCCGCAAAGCTTGCCCAGATGACATCACTTCTTGGCCAAATTATAGCTATTGTTAAAAAATAAAGCTCAGATCAGTATTTTGTCTAAACTGATCCCTTATAACAGTCCAAATATCCACATTCACCTGGATTAAAATAAGTCTGTTTTTGTCATGAACTCTAGAGAGAAGCTAGTAACTCCTCTGCTGAATTCCCAAGCTCAGAAAAGAAAAAAACAAGAAAGGTGTTAAATATACCACTTCCATCACAACCTTTTCTTGCTCAGTGCCTCAAGCAATTCCTTTACATAGAGTGTGTGTGCACTATAAACTCCAAAGCCAGGTTCTCTGGAGCAAAGAAGCATTGGCTTTTGGAGAACTGGGACAGGAGGAACAGATGGAGTTGCTGTAAGCAAAAGCTACCAGAGGAAGGGCAGCTATGCCAGGTAGCCTAAGAGATTCAGCTCTGGGTGAGCATCTCCTGCTAGGCTTCAATCTGCAGTACAGAACAGTCATTGCTAAACCTGTCAACCTTCCAAAACCTGCACAATTATTTTGTATGTAAGTATTTTCCTCTTTCATGAGAGTACTTTGTAATCTTCTGGGATTAAGATGCTCTCATTAGCTGTACTCTGAATTCAGGTCACCTGCATTTTTTGGAAGAGTTCAACATGCCTGAGCAGGGGGACACTGCTTTGCTTCAAGTTCTGCCAGCAGGGAATGGGTAACTGATTACCAACAGCAAGCTGTTCTCTAGCCTGTGTAACAGGCAGGAGCTAGCAATCATCAGCACCAATCAGAACCAAATCAGCAGAACCTTGCTAATGATACAATCAACCCTCAGAGTGCTCCCTGGGCCCTGGAACCTGCCCCACTGTGTGCACACAGTTTGGACACTCAACAAAGTACAGCACTGGCAAAAATCTGTGCCCAGAAACTGTCCACGTGCCCAGGGTTAGATATGTAAACAGAAAACAGGCTTGGTGTGAAAGGGAAATGACAAATGCTTAGGAAATGACAGGTGAAGCTGACTGCTGTTGCCTGCTGTGTAATGCTCTTTAAAGACACACGTATTGAGGGAGAGTGACAAATCCTAGGTCACAGTGCAGGATGGGTTAGTGAGCCTCCCTGAGGTTTGTGTGAAAGTGAAATCGAGTTTGGTTTAACAAATGTTGGTGTCAACTCCTCTTCAAACAAATATGAAACATTCATTGCATACATTTATTTGCCCCAGATTCCATTTCTGCCTTCTTATTCTTGCAAAATGATTTGGTACAGAGATCTGTACCAGCAAAAGTGGTACATTAATCAGAGAAGGTGTTCATTAATTGCAGCCCTGTGCTAACAGGGACCATGGGACACAGCACTTCAACATGCTAGCCAAGTGCAAAGACAAAGATTACATGAAAAGCTGCAATGCTGTGATCCTGCTAACAAGGTGAATTAAGACTTTAAAGCAGGCATGAGGATTTCACTTTGAAATTTGAGGACTTTTTAGCATTGTCAGGGTTTGTGCCAGCTTCCACTTCTCACTGTGCTGAGAGGTGCAATGGCATCTTCTGATCTTTAGCTAAATATCTATGTTCCTGATGCCAGCTCTTGCCTAAATGGGTAGCAAATCTGGCAAATGCTGGTAGCTGGCTTTCTCCCTTCAGCTACTTTGGCAAAGCTCCCTTCTTGGACAAGTGTTCACAAACCTTTTAGGAGTCAGGAACAAAGCAGCACACACGAAGATCTTCCTGTCTGCTCCTGTGTGATTTTCTCTTGCAACACACACTGTCTATCCACACTGTAAGCAAAGTTCTAATCCTCTCCTTCCTTCCTGCCCCAAGTCTCCCACAGAGACAGACTCTGTTATCACTGTCCTCCTTCTCCCTTTGCCCTTACCAACATAACATAAAAGCCATCTCAAGAGGACTTTGAGCAGGGATTTTCCCCATCCACCTCCTGTTGCTGATTCTTCTGACTCACAAGGCTGT